AACTATATACTTTTATATTATAGACCTCTAGGTATATACTATATCTATCTATATAGAATAAATTAAGTCTATAGCTCTAGTAATTAGAAAGTTATAGCTAGATTATACCTTAAGAAGCTAGAAATTTGGTTTTGGATTTCCAAAAATTTCGAAAATAGCGCCGTGTCGTTATGGTCTACCGCCTGAGCGAGAGTAGTAGAGATTACCGATATTTCCCTGTGCACCAATTACTGACCTCCCTTTAGCGTGGGGGAGTTTCCGGTACAGACGCGATTATACGGTAACTCAGATGCGCACTTCGGTACCATATGATGTGAAAAAATAGAGACTAACCAACCAAAAACAAAATGGACGCCCACGCTGAGGCTCGAACTCAGAACCTTGAGATTGCTATTACTACCATAGTGCCGTAATTAAAAGTCTCACGCGCTAGCCAATTGTGCCACGCGGGCGGGCTGATTTTGACTCAAAAAGTGCTTTTCATTGTTCATATCACAACAACTTTTCTCTCGGCTTGTCCACGCCACCCAAGGCGCGCTGCTGAATGCTTTCATGGTAGAAACATAGTGATCTCAAGGTTCTGAGTTCGAGGCTCAGTGAGTTTGTGTAAAGTCTACCATAATATTGATATTCTAACATGATATAGGCGTGGGCGATGAATTTCACTTTTTGCTCGTTTTATGCCATACTACTTCACACTCTCTCACGAACATTTTATAGCATTTTTCGTTTTAGGTTTTGCCTTCTATTTATTCTCCCGTTGGATCAGAACTCAACTATCTGTATTTGGTGTTTGAAAGGCATATATATACTAAGTCGTTTAATTATCAGCGCAAAATATAGACATGCTTAATATAATATTGCAATAGTCTTGGTCACTTCAATCTCGTTAACTTAACAATATGCTTGGGTATTACAATCAATTGGACACCATACGTTTGGAAATGTTGTTGGATTCTACAGATTTCGCAGGATATGGAGTTAGTTATAGCTTTATGCTCAGACAAGGCTGACTTGGCGAGTCCATTTTTGGCAATAGGAATCGGAGATTCGGCATATTATTTGCATTTGCCCTAGACAACGTACCAAGAATGGGTGATCCCGAGTGCGAGGAATAAATTGAGGTGACTGGGATGATTCTGTAACTACACCTCGGCGAACTCGAAGCTCCTTAATCAAGTAATTCTACGTAAGTACCCAACCTTCAGGCCCATGAAAGCGGTTCCTTGAATAGAAAATCGCGAAAGCCCACGAACGCAGAAAGCATGGCAGTTGCAGTAGATTTACCGCACATCCAGCGTATCAACATCGACGACAACGAGGCTGTAAACAGCGACAACCCTGAGAAGATCTATGAAGAGTATGATTTTCTGCGTTCGCAGTGCCCAGTTGCATACACGAACCGATACAATGGCTTTTGGCTTTTAACCAGGTGGCTTTCTCAAACTGAGATAGTAGAACATACTTGCTGACAAGAAATCCAGATATGAGGACATCAAAGCTGCTGCTGGGGACTCTGCAACTTTCATTTCATCAGTGAAGGCTGTAGTACCATCCGATCCTCGTGGCCTTCGGCGACCACCATTGAACTTTGATGCACCAGCGCATACCCCATATGCAAGTCAGGCCGATTTCTTGTCATTACATCCATAATATCACATACTAACAGACGTTGAATTATTAGAGAACAGCACTAGACCGAACTCTAAAAGCATCGCGCCTGAAGCGACTCGAGAAAGTTCTCGAACGACATGCAGAGGAGGAATTGCTACCACTGCTCAGTCGCGGCGAAGGAAACATTTGCACCGAATTCGGAGCTCTATTTTCCGCTTGGGTAGAAACGGAATGGTTGAATTTGGACCCAGATACGGCACCGTTATTGGCAGAAACTGCAGCAGCCTGGGTGAATGCATGGAGAAAGCAAGACGGCGAGAATGTGACCAAGAATTCCAATGTGTTGTATGATATAGCGAGGCAGTTACTAGCCGATCGACGAAAACATCCAAGAGATCCCGAGGAAGACCCAGCGTCATCACTACTATTGGAGCGCGATTCTGAAGGAGAGCCTCTGGAAGAGATCCATCTCGTGTAGGTGCTTTGCGCATAGCAAGTCTTATGCAAGAACTGACCCAAAACAGTGGGGGACTTCGTCAGTCGTTGGTTGTAGCCATGATAGCACCTTCAATTCTTATGGGTGGAATTTGCACGCATCTGAGTCGTGACAAGGAGCTGCAGACCCATCTGCGAGGGCATCCTGAAGACGTTCCCGCGGCTGTCGAAGAGTTTGTGCGTTTGTACACACCGTATCGTGGGTTCGCGCGAACAGCTTCCAAAGACGTGAAGATCAATGGTTGTCCAATCCAGCCGAAACAGCCTATAACATTGGTAAGAGATGTCAGCCAGCCGCAATTGAGTTTTATGAGCTGATTGAGGTGATAGAGTTATGCTTCTGCGAACCGAGATCCCGACGCCTTTACGGACCCCGAAAAATTTGTCCTCCGACGAGAAAACATCACTTCACACCTGGGATTCGGACGCGGAAGGCATCGATGCATTGGGATGCCGCTCGCAAGACTTGCAATGCAGACAGCAGTGAGAGTTTTACTCGAAAGGACCAAAGATTTTGACGTTAATGGCCCATTAGAGTATGCAAGGATGCCTGAGTTAGGTATCATCAGTTGCCCCCTGAAGTTTGAGCTTGCATAGTATAGCATGAAATGACTAGAACACTCCATTAATTGTACCAGCTGTGGTCACAAATTGAAGATCGCCGTAAAAGCCTCCAAGTGAGGCGCACCCTGAAAACAGACAAACCGAAAGTTGAAAGACCTAAAATTCAGAGAACAGCCAACATACAGGGGTATACAAGCCAAAATGCCTGGTCTCAATTTCCGCAATTCCTTCCAACACAATCGAAGACCCAACCGTGAAGCAAAGACCATCTGCTACTCCTAATAATCACCGTCCAGCTCAAAAATGCAAATTTACTAAACAGCCCAGGAAGGAATCCGATCAGAGCTGCAAGCAATTGGAGCGGCTTTCTAAGCGGCACAAGAGAATACCTGCAGGGTAAAACCTAATAGAAGTTACCTTTTGGTACAGCACAGAAAATGCCAACAATAATTCCAGAGAGAAGAAGGCCGGCAAGCACGGCCTGAATAAAGATGATATCCTGGATCTGGCGGAGGGCGGGCTCCTTAACCCAGACTTCACGGTCAAAGACTTTGCGAATAATGTTGCGCTTCTCGTATTTAGGAACCCATGGCTCATCCTCATAGCTAGTCCCAGAGTCGAGACTGTCAAAGGACATCTTCTTTAGATCAGTATCGCCGGAAGGATCGTCGTCCTCGAAGAGCTCCCATGGACGAAGATGGCGGTGGTGCATGCCGTGCAGGACCTAATAAGATTAGCTTCACCGATATGCTCAAGCACAATGATATGACTTACGACGCACATGCCCTTCCAAGCAGCAATAAGAGTCGGAATGCCAATCATGAATGGAATAAGTGCTAGTGTTCGGTAACCACGACCAGCGGTGCTCAAAGTCGTGAGCAGAGCAGTCAAGATACCGGAGATTATCCCAGCAATACCAAGTCCTCGAGCGAATATGACACGTGGTCGGTTACCATTGCCGATGGACCAGCGGATAAAGTTGGGATGGGCTTGACGGCGGAGCGACCATTCCACGGTCTTGACGACATTGCGAAAGGCAGAGGGATGAGTGGTAGCTTCGAGGGCTTTAAGTAGCGCCGTACGCTCTCTAGACGAGAGGTTGAGCTGGCGGGAGGCTCCATCCGAAACATACAAAGTGATGATGCGAGATATTTCCTCGCGAAAAGGCTGGATAGTGACTGGAAAGCTGATTAGTGACGAAAGAGGGAGTGATGTCATATTGTTGAACTGACATGGTTGGAACTTGCAGCCGGCGTCCTCAAATGCAAGCTCAGCAACACGAGTGCTGCCAGACTTGACAGAGTGAAAGGCGCTAATTGGCCGAGTGGTGTCAGTGTCGGCACCGAAGCTCTCATGAGGCAAGTGAGCGCTTGAAAACTCCCGAGAGTCATTAAAAGGGTTCTGCTTCTCGGTAGGTGGACTATCAGTCTCGGATGCTGCTAGGTTTTGTGCTTTGAGGATTCCGGCGGCCTCCACCGTTAAGGGCTTCTGGTTCAGGTAGCTCCGATACGCAGCATTTTCTGCGTCCTCGTGTCGCTGGGTCCATTCTGGAGAGAGTCTGCTTTCACTCTCGGGAAGGTCTTCAAATCGCTTGACGTAGCCCTTGAACCACAGATAGAACTGCAGATTTTCTGCCGAAAACTCTACGTATTTGAGGAAATTCATGAAGTCACGAAGAGTGACAGGCTGAACTGATGTTAGCTCGTCTGCTGCCAATCGCCATCTTCCACGAAGTCGTCACGCGACACTGGCTTCAAGATTTTAGGCTTCATGTTCACAAGTGGTTCGTGAGGGCAACAATGCCAGAGTTTCCTCTTGAAGAAGATCAGAAGCAAAAGAACATTAGGACTCACAGGACAAGTGCCACCCGTAACTATGCGGTCAAAGGAAATAGCATCAGGTATTCCATGTGAAGTGCCTGAGCTCCCAGGAGTAATGGAATTATTGACCGACTTGGGTTTTTCAGATCCACTCAACGAGTCTCTGGAGGAAGAGACGTAAGACGGCCGACGATAGCCTAGTGAGTACACCATGGTGACGGTTGTGTTGGTAGTGGTGTTCTAAAGATCGACAAGTGAGGTTGCGGGCCGCGCGATGTAGATCGATGGAAAATGGTCGAAGTCTGATAGTAGATTCAAAAAGGCAAAACCAGTCCTCCACCAAATTATGGAAGGAGTAAAAGAGCGTGAGTGCTAAAAGCAGAATCTAAACTGGATCAGGCTGATCGAACTGGATATTTGATGTCGTCAAGCTTTAAAGGCGGGGGAAAGGTACATAGGTGAAGTGTAGGTGTGGAAGAGAATAAAAGCAACAAGCGAGCTAGCAGACGGATATGGATCAGATTGGTTTAGGGTAACGCCTTGGCAAGATTGTTGCTGGCTGAACTCAGTCGTTTGGCTGTTGGGCGTGTCGAGTTGATAATCTAATAACAATGTCGAACCCGTTGTTGTTGACGTTCTGTTCAACGAATGGCCATACTGTTGAAGTGGCAGTTGATTGAATGAAGATGTGGAAAGCTTTAGCAAGTATGAGAATCTCAAGTTACATATTAAACCAGCTCGCCTCGAAATCTGCCCGTCTTTGACAGCAGGGTGAGGCCCAATCTTGGCTTCAATTCCATATATCATTGGCTTGAAGAGGTGGATCAATTCGCCGATCTCTGATGATCGAGATGCGGTACTCTAGAACCAACACTTGCTCAGCTTCAGCCAGTCGGAACCGAAGCTCGCTTAGGAGATGCGGAATCCTGCTGCTGGGTAGTGGGTATCATCTCTGTGGA